CCTCTAACTTTGAGGGGAAAACACCTCCGCCGCGAGAAGGCAGTGAGTAGGGCTTCCTCAACAGAGGCCTTTTGAGACGCTTGGTCGTATGGGGGCATTTCGTGGGGTGAAAGGGAAGAGCGACTAGCCGCAACCCTAGACACCCACCCGCAACCATACTGAGGCCTTGGGAGGCTATTACTTGTTTAGAATACTATGGACCAAAAGTTGATAAGACCTTTAGGTAACTGTATGTGTCCATAATGTTGTGTTGAAAACCAATGTGTTCTCTGCATTCTACTGGGTGTTTTTTTCACCAGGATACATTTGAAAGTGATCAATAAGTTCTTTGAACCACCTTGTTGGTGTGTTTGTCGTTTGTTGACTTCTTTGCGTTCAAAACTAAAAGCTCTCACAGTGATTACCCTCAAAAAAGACGTTTTACAAAACGTCATCAAAACCACATTTTGTTCTCTGTTTTGTACCCCAAATGCTCGTTTGAATCAGCTTGTTGTATTTGCTCTACTCGGTAACAAAAACGAGTTGCTTGCTTCTTCAAGCTAACAGTAACGAAAGTAGACACATTAAGCTAAGCTGATTCGTTAACGATATTCTGTCCTACTCGTTTCGACTGACTAACCTTACTCTGCTATGTGCTCGTTTTAGTATTTTGGTTACTCTTCTTGTTGACCAGAGGATACTCTTTTCATTAATGATATTTGTTATAAAAAAGTAAGAACATCAAACTCGCCTTTAACTGTACCAATTTAATTATTATAGTGTGATTTCTCATTCGCAATAACTCTGTGTGAATTGAATTGATCACTCCATCTCCTGTAATCCTTAAGCGGTATGTGCTCAGCATTATTAAGTATTACGCAATTTTACCCAATTCGAGAATCCTGTTTTGTATGGGATTAGTTAATTCAGGATCTTCCTGCCGTGCAAAGCATAATCTCTTGGCGAATATGCTCGGTAGTAAACTATAACGTTATGCTTATATGGTTTTCACGTGTCCTCATCATGTGTTGTACTCTTTTTGACGTCCATTTCGTGCTTTGTACTTTTGAAAAATCAAGGACACCTACGGTCGGACCACGTTATACCTCCTAGCTCTGGAGGGCATGCTCGATATGGCTGATCTATTGTTACACACACCGGCTCCCGGTGCTCACATGCGTCCCGGATCCGCTGGTCTAGTTGGTGCTAATCCCGTTCTGTCCGATGATGAGGGTCGATGTCCGCTACATGTGGCCACTTGGCAAGGACACCTTGAGATGGTGAAACTGTTGCTCCAGGTCAGTTTAGAAAGCCATTGTTTTATTCTTTAATCAGGCGAATGGAGGCAATGTGATGACAGTAAACTTGATTTAAACTCCTCGATTTCCTCAAACTAGGGGGTAGAAGTACGATTGTTTATTATTTTGTCATTACTATTAAAGCACTCTTCCAGCATACGAATCATCCAGATTATATCTCGGTCCATGCTGGAATCTACCATTGGTGCTGATTTTGTTACTACGGTGAAAGTTGTTTTGTAGGATCTGTCTTTTTTAATTGAAGAGGAAACTGCAGCAATGGGGTGGTTGAACAAATCCATGGATGATTTTCCGCGGTCATATTGCACTCTGCTTTTCGTTTGTTTTTAATTTACTAGAATGGATCAGCAAGCTTATGAGTTTTCTTGTGTTCTCTTCGAAAAATTCTAGAGACGATATATACTTCTCGCAAACGCACACAAGACGGAAATTTGGAATTGGGCACAACAATTTAAGGGGAAAATCCAGATTATCCACTGTTAGAGACCAATAATGTTGTTCCGAATCATCGATTGTGACTGATTTAGTTTCATTTTATCCTGCACTTGTACCTTTCTGATTGTATTGGTTAACGTTTCATAGGTACAGGGGTCACATATTTTTAAAATACCTGTTTTCAGTTTGCTTGTTTAGGATTTAAAATAAGTCTACGACGTTTCCGCTTAAATATTTTGGTTTCATCATTTTCACAATTCATTCGCACATAAACGTTGTTGCTCAATTACCAAAACACATCAGTTTTCCAAATATCAGTACGAAATATTGTTATACGGCCGCGGTAGCACTACTCATTTACCAGTGGAATTTTATCTGAGTTGCATTAAACATTGTGTTTCGATTGTTTGTCATTTAAATGTTTTGCGAATGGTTTTCGTCAAAATGTATGTGTGGTTCACCCCCACCCTCCCATCAAGATGTTGACATTTCGGTTGAAATTATTTCCTTACCCCTGCACTTGTTCATTCTTTTGAATGGTCGCGGATTGGGGATGTCAGGTTTTGATTAATAACTTCTAATTAGAAGGGACTAAATGTCGGACGAAATGCAAAGTGAAATATCAAAGTGCCCTGACAGAAGATCCATTCAGTTTTTGTATTGCTGCATTCAGAATGTGATTGCAACCTTGATTGAGTTGGATAAATTTCAAATATCGTATGGTTAAATTTCGTTGTGTACAGGGCAAAGGAAAAGCAAAGTGAGAAACTAATGGTCTAGAAAGAACACGACAAAATCTACAATGTTATCAAACCAAGTCCTCAAGTACTCTCTGCTGTAACGTTGTGGTAGCCAATACGACCAGATTACGTGAACCGTTACCCAGACGATACGTGCGGCATTAATGACCACAAACAGAAACCGTACCACCCAGCGACTGAGTGAACAGTACACGAGTACGCCCGACTGCGGGACCCAAGAGAACCGGAAGAACGCCCGAGAGAGTAGTATGATCCCCGAACCCCATCAGAGAGAGGATGGAAAACAGCCCTTCAGGCGAGGTTGTATATTTGAGTCGACCCAAAAGGCGAGGACTAAAAAACAAATCGTCTGTTTACCTAAAGTTTTGGGACCGGCCCACAATAACCTTGGAAATTAGCTTGAAAGTAGAGAGTTATGAAGAAATAGATCAATGTGTATGGAATATGTTGTATGAGGCTTTTTTGGAGCCAAAATAATTAGGAAAGTAAGGAAAAATAGGGGGAATTAGTCATCTTTGTAGGGGAAAATGGTCTTTTCCCTCTCTCACACTCATGTCACATGGAATGGAATAGGAAACTTTCTAACCGTCTCATTACTTTGGGGGATAGTACTGGAATGTGCTGCCAGCATTAAGCTCACAAAAATAGGTTGTGCTGTATCGTTTTAGGGCGAAATCAAAAACGTTCAGATCATCTTCCCGGTGGCCAAATGGTTAGTATGCAAACATACTGCCTGTGACGTCCCGAATTTGATCGAGCGAGTTGCATTACTGATGAAACCCAATCGGATCGAAATAACTGCCCTGCGCTTCCCAGCCTCTCCGTTCACGCTTCATTTGCTTTGTGTATGATGAAACCAACTATGCGATCAAACCAAATTCTGTACTACTCTCAATGTCTCAATACTTGTCATTTGGTATAATTCCTCTTTTCTTCATTGAACCGGAAGAAAATTCGCTCATTCATTCACTGTGTTAAAACGATGAAACCCAGCAAAATCCAAGTTCAACTGAGGTATGTACAGCGTGCTGTTTGATGAAATGTTGTCAATTCAGAGTGAAATCCCTACTTTATCTACTGACAATATGTCCTTCTCGTTGACGAACCAATCCAATAACTTGACATTGCAATCTAATTACGTGCGATACGTAGACAGCCACACTCGTATGATTGATTTGTATCGGTTTTTCGTTTCAGTTAATCTGGAGAAGACCATCTCATCAGTTGTTTGTTTGAATTCATTCGACTTCATTTACCAGTGCATCAAATTCAGACCTGTGTTTCTCGAGATATCCTAATATATCAATGGTGGCGGAATGGTACGTCTAATTCGGATGCTATTCTGGCATTTGCGCGCGCGCTGATGGTGTCCTCGTCACAACTCTGTATTCTGTTTTCAATTTACCTCATTCTTTCATCCGATTACGATATTGAAAAGCTATGCTCCCTCAATGAAGGAACGAAAACACCAACGGGCAGTGTGATCAGCATCTGATTATTTCATTCTTTCAAAACCTTTATTGACTAAATGATAGGAAAACCTTTTTTCTAGGAAAACGGATGTGGTCAATCAAAAGACCCTGATGTGATACAACGAATTGAGGGATGCCAGATGATGGTTTCTGGGTTCGAACACGATCAACCAACGATAGTGATTTGACTTAAACCGCTTCACAACTCCCCCCCCCCCCTCTTTAAAAGGTGAATGTAGGCACTTGAAACCAGACCGTACTGACATCTGCTCAGTCCACCACCATGACAGGGCTTGCGATGAGTACAAGTAGATTTCGATTCCAGAACTACTTTGAAATGTGCCTTGTGTTCCTCAGGACGAATATTGCCATTCAGGTGAACATCACAAAAAGTTCTTAATAGAATTGATCGTTTGGCAGAGAAATCAAAATGTGGTACTGGTAGTTGTGAAGCCGAAAACTTCCCTCCCTGTCGATTCAGAAATCACATGAACATTCAAGGCATCACCAACTAATCCGCGGATTTAAAATATTGAATTTTCCCCCATATCGAGCGCTAACCGCATGTTCAGTTCAGTTCAGTTTGTGCAACCATTAACCATGTAATATCGTGCTCCAGTTTTAGTTGCTGTCTTTTGGCTGCCCACTTGGATGTACATGAGGAGAAAGAGAGGAAAGCTTTAAAGTGGAATCAAAGAGAAATTTGAAAGCACATGACGTTTATAGTGATAGAAAGCATGTCCAGTCGCACAGAGCATGAAGTATAATTGTTTGCGGTTCTAGCTTGGAAAATAATCATCTTGTTACACTATCGCTATAATATATTTACTGCGTGAAATACTCCACATTATCCATCGGAGAGATTTTGGATATTATTTGTAAGGAATTCTGGTGCTGAGGTCACAGTGGTATGTCAATCACATGTTATTATTTAAATCCAACCCATCAAGACTGGTTAAGAAATATGCCATGAAAATTTATGCAAACGGGATTCCATGACAAACTTTACTGGAACTGACCGTTTGAATAAGTAAAAATAAACGCGAATCAAAATACGGTTCAGCACAGTTGGCGGTACCGAGCATTCTCGGATAAGAAGCAACAGAACATTGGAATTATTTATAATAATATAGTACTCAATTGTAGTAGTGAAAAAAGGTTCTCATCAATTGCCGCGTTGATTTTGTACACTCTTGTCAAACTTACTTAGTATCAGATCCATGTAGTTTGAACATGCTGAAGTTAGGCGCACAGTTTTAGGTAGTCGTGGGCGTCCACTGGAGCAGGTAGTCGACCTCCATAGATTACGTTGTTTGGGGCATGTGTTGCGCATGTCACCAGATAGGCTGCCACAGCGAGCGATGTTTGCCGAGGCGGGTAGCGGTTGGAAGAAGATCAAGGGCGGTCAAGCTAAGACCTGGCATGAGGGTGTGAAAACCCTACCCAGAAGACTGACACATAAGTCCTGTTAGGCTCCCCGAAATGGTGGTCACCAATGGTTAGAAACACTGAGTGATATGACTGGGTGTCGCAAACAGTGGCGCTCATGCGTTTACTCATTATTATCTTAACACAAGCCTATTTGAATTCTCTGTCTTCTGCTTCAGTTGGCTTTCAACATTCCAGTCTTCAACCTTCTCTTTTATCCAAATGTTTCACCCAAAGACAGCAACCAAAACCGGCGCATGAAAGTGCATGGTTAATGGTTGTAAAAAGTGAACTGAAACTGAACATTCGGATCATGATCAATCTAATCCTAGTGAACGCGTTAAGGCTGTTAAGATATCATTTCCAAAACGTGTCTCCCTTAGCCGCTGAAACCTGAAATCCGTTTTTAGAATGACATTTTGTGGCGGTGAAATCTTCACTTTTCGCCATCCTTGGTGGCTTATCACTTCTATAGTTCGAAACGAAAACGGAAACATTATTAATTTGTAGCACTTTGTATTCTGGAATTCCTTAAGTCACTCGAGTTGCACAACCTTATCTATCTGTTAGGTATTTTTAATAATGTCATCGTCGAGTAATTGTTTAGGAGTGCAGCTGTGTATAACTGACCCATTTGCAGGCGCGCAGATAAAAATCCGGGGAGTTCCTCTAAACCTGAAGTTTGATTTCGATTTCCCGGATGTGTTACCTAATCCATCTTGAGATTATGGAATTAGTCATCTTCTCTATATTCCACGTTTCCTCGGACGAAACAGTCGTTTATTGATTTCCATGAGTGCTTACTTGATATCTACTCTGTATCGGGTGTTTGAAGTAAAGTAGATGTTCTTTCACTTGTGATTCATCCTAGAGAATTAATTTAAACTCGATGATTCCGCTCAGCTAGGGATTCGAAATTTTTAGGTTTATCTCGGTGAGTTCGAAAAACGGTATCGAAC